AACGCAAACAAGAAATTGAACATAACTCGCGTCTTGTTTGTTCAATATTCGCACTGCGAGCATTACCGTTGCCTTCAAGAGCAACGATATCATTTGTGTTATCAATTGCTGTCGTTTGATTGGCATCATCTGAAAGTGCTCCTTTATCCGCATTCTTCGTGTTCGCTCGTCTCGCAATGCTCCTGTACATTGATAGTGCTGTTTTCAACATTTTCTTTGACGACAATTCATCGAACTGCGATTTTGGTTGGTCACTATAAAATGTCGTTGATAGATATGATGTTCATTGCTCGTAATGTGATTTATTGTTCACCTTAGATATATGAAAAATGATGATAGAGCTTGTGGGTGTATTCAGCATTCAACTTAGAGTGATTCAGAAAGATGGAATGAATCTCAAATAGAAATATTCCGAAGTATTTGTATTAAGCGTATTTCGAACTATTCCACAGTTTTGTACGGAGACAGAGGAGGACGAGAAAACATCAAACAGCTAAAATTTCATCTCCATCGGTTCATTCGTTGAAGAGCTCCACGAATTTTAATTTTTCTTTGAAAAAAAATTGTCGGATTGTCGGAAATCAAAAATTTTGGAAAGCTGAAAGGAAGGTTGGAGCATCATTGATCCTCTAAATGAGGTTGTGTTCTGCAATTTGTGACCAGTGACATCTACTCGTCCTATCCACATAGATGTGTTTAAAACGATATGTTACGTGAAAGTGATTGAACACGTTGCATTATATTTCAGTGCATTAACAGTCTGATGTTTCGAACTCTGCATTAACATTTTGAATTGTGCATCGCTTTTACATATTTGCATATGAAATGTATCCCATCGTTTATTTGCACAATTACGAGACTGCAACCTTTCTGGAGCACTTGACTTCTCCGGAGACGACGAATTGGACGAATCACTGTTGGAGGATCCTTCTGAAGGAGCCTTTTTCAATGACAACGATTTGTCACTTTCGCGTTGTTTTTTGGAATCATTCTCGATTAACTTCTTCTAAAAACTAATTTATGTTGATTAAGATGAGGACTATGAGTTTCATTTCCGATTAACTTGTTTCATGGAACCATTATCATGGAACGTGACTTTCATAGAATCATTCTCGATTAATTTCTTTTGAAAAATGATTGATATTAATTGGGATGAGGATTGTGAGTTTCATCAGAAATTCATGAGTTGTAGATATATGCTGATAAGAGCACTTTAATGGATCAAGACATAGTTTTGGGATGAGAATGGTTTGAGATGAAGGCCTTTTGCTCATCAAAAGATCGGATATACTTCTGAATCAGATAGCTGGTTCCTTATGATATCTTGAAGCACGTAATAACCACGTAATATCTCAAATGAACTGGTAAGACATTGTCACAGCATGTCAAGCACAACTGAATTGTGATTGATATTCGGAGACTTCATAAACGAAGCGATTACTTGATTGATTCTTCTTCGGAAGACATTCAGCAATTTCCGATTTCG